CTCCATTTTTATTTGTGATTTTTTAAAATTATTTATTCTCTTTTCATAGAAAGAAAATCCTCTTTCCCCCAACCCCAAGTTACATTATTTGTTCTTTGTAGGCAGAGTGCTTGTTTTCCAGAATGTTTCTATCATTCCTTCCCCAGACTCTGCCTTATCTCTCCTGAATTTTGCCTTCTTCCTTGCTCTCCTGATCTATGAAATCCCAGACCTCTAAAAAAGAAACATGGAGCTTGTTAGTCTCTGTTCTTGCTTGCAACCAAACAAAGTGTTACTAGTACAATATAGGTCTGTTTGTCAGACAACTTCTCTTCATGAATGAAAACTGCATTGCAGACATCCAGTTTTGTAATAGCTTTTCCCAAATAATAGCTTTGTGGGATAGAGAAACATGTACCCCATTTTATGGACTGGGAAAATGAAGTACAGCCAAACTAAATGACCTACTTGTAATCACACAGGAAGCCTGTAGCAGGACAGAACCACAACACATATCCACTGGTTTCCTACCATGTACTTCTGTTCTTAAGTTACTCCTGATTTTTCAAAGCCCTTAACTTAACAAGGACCCTTTTTATTTTAGGAGGCCTCCCTTAATAGTCCCAAAACATCCCCTGCATTTAAGAGAACACAACCTTACCATAATTGCATCTCCAGCCACCTTACAAACAACAGGAAGAGGCAGGCAGGCAGGCAGACATCCAGCACACAAAAAAAAAGAAAAAAAAGGCTGTATTCCCCAGAGATACACAGATTTCCTGTGATCAATCCAGAGCTACAGAAAAACAAGTTTTCTTAACAGGTAGAGGAGGTCTCATCCACCCCACCTGCTGCTCCTTTTTCAAAGCTCCACAAAAAAACAACTTCCAGAGCTGCAGTGTGTTAGTACTCAGGCTTGAAATTAACACCCAAGGTCCAATGTCAGATGGGAATGATGGATGCTGATTGCTTTTGAAAAATCTGGGGCTACATATCTCTGCAAGTTAACTCTGACTCTGCCTTGCCAAGGAACAACTGGTGAAGGGAATGATAGTCATGCCCAGTTCACTGCTGTTTGTGCTGACCTGTCCCCTCTCTTTTCTTTCTCTTCTAGTGCTCCTTTTTCCTACAGCTTGGCCAGAGCTCTTGGAACTCAGTAGGAAATGGATGTTGTAAGGAAACCCTAACTCAGCCTGGAGAAATAAAACCTGCCACCAGCTATAATTCACATTTTCCACATTCCATTGGCTCCTACTGATTGGGTGAGCAGATAGCAAGTGTGAAAAACAAGGCCAAGGAATCATACAACCATAGAATACTAAAACTGGAAGAGACCTTGAGAGGTCATCAAGTCCAGTCTCCTGGAATAGAGAGGTAATAGAACAAACCCCCAAATATAGGGAACTGTCCCTGTGCAATTGGGACAGCTGACCACTCTACCTCCTGCAGCAGAGTTTCAGTGTAGTGTTGAAACAAACAGGAGTACTCTTTACTTTTGTATGCATTAAGCAAACTACCTTGTTGTGTGTCACATGCAACTAGCAATTTGGGGGAGGCATTTTCACTCTCTGCAAAGGAGATAGGCTAGCGTATTTTGGGGTTTCCTTATGAAATAGTGGAGCCTCCTCCAACAAAACAAAGTCCCCAAAACCCAGACTTTGTCCAGGTGTATCTGTTTGGCTACTTCACACACACTCATCATGGGGTTCGTCGCAGTGAATGAAATGCCTCCCACCAGTGCTTTTGAGAATATTTCTGTGCATTTAGAGCAAGAGTTAGAAATAGCAGGGTCACACAGGTCAGTTCAGAGTGGCCCTACCTGTCTGGTGGGATCAAGGTGTGTTTCTTTGAACCACCTTTCCCAAGTGATTCATTCATTTCCCCTCACAAAGAAAAGGGCTACAGAGAAAGCTCAGACTTGTTGGAATGCAACATTGCAGGCTCCACCATAAACAACAGCAAGTGAAAATGAGCTTTGGCCAACAACTGTGATAAACATCAAATTCGCTGGGTTGCCGCTGACTGATGTGTTCCAAACGAGAGCAGTATTTTCACCAGCCCCCTGCTCTCCCACACCCCAAACCCACTCCCCAGCAGTTCCCTCCTACATATAGAGCCCCTCGGTTTTGGCCCTACCCCAGAGCCTAGGGTGGCCCACAAAATCTTCTAGCTTGGGCCTCCCTGGACTCTAGTGTGCAAGAGAAATATCAGTTGCTTCTCACTTTCGTGCAGCTCCTGATTTTTTTGTGGCTCAGTGACCTCTGACCCAAAAGGTCCTCCACCCCTGCTCTAGCTCTTCCCTGCCTCTCAAGGCTGCCCGAAGAATTGACACATTAAAGCTTGTCAGGTGCTGAGAAAAGCTGTCTGGCTTTCTTCTTGATTTACTTGAGCATGTCCCTCGTATTCTATCTTGAAAATAACCCATCAAAGGTGAGGAAGGAGGCAGGGGACCACAGATATGAATCCCTCCGGCCTCTACATTGAATAGTCTCTCTTTTTAAAATGGAGATGGTTAAATTAAATGCTTCATCCTACATACCTTGAAGTCGGTGTTAACGCTCCCAGCAACTGCATGGTGTAGATTCAGGCCCACAGCCTCCTGGGGCTCTAAATCGAGATAGCATGTCTACATGAGGTAAGCCTGCCTCAGACAAATTTTGAGGCTTCCCCTGAAGTGTAGATGCTCTATTTCTAAATAAGCTATTTTGGAGTAACTATTCCGGATTAGCTTAGTCCAAAATAACTGTGCAGTGTAGACATAGCCTAAAAGAGGCATACTAGCAAGTTCACTCTGTATCACTAATTAATTTAGAAAGCAGTTAGATGCTACAGCTGTGGGCGCTATAGCAACCCCCTACTCAGAGTGTTCTTGCATGGCCGACTCTTACCTAAAATGATTCATTTTTCAGTTCTTGGTGGAATCTTAGTTTGTTTTCAAGATTGTGAGTCTTGGGAGTTACAAGAGCAACAGCGATGCCTGGTGTTACTGGTGTATTTTCGCTTGCTGGTTTGATCACAGGGGCAACTATCAAACATATTTGTCACACATCAGGTGATGCCTCTGGATCCAAAGCAAGGGACTTAGCCTTATGTATTGGTCACGGAGTGCTCCATCAGCCCAATGACAAGTTCCTGTTTGGAGAAACTATTCTCTATGGACCCTGAAGGCCCTGGTGGTAACCTTGTGCCCACTGGCGAATTGACCCCAAAGTTCTAAATAAATCACCATTGTAATTTCACTGAAAGTGGCGTGGTGCTGTCACTCCCTTGCTGCACTGAACCTCTGCCCTTTTGAGCTGGCATGGATTTTAGTGCTTGGTGAATATAAAGCAACTGAATCCAGAGAAGCTAAGTAAGCAGGTTGAGAATTATTTACCTTTCAGATGAATAGCATTTCATTTCACATGCTTGAGTAGTTGGATGATTTGAAAACTCCTCCTCTGCTACCTAAATGCCGTAAGATCAGGAGGTTGGCACCTGTTTCTGAAGTTGGCCACTGCAGAGAAAGAGTCTCTGTATTCTGTCACTCATTAGTATGCACGCGCACACACACACACACACACACACCCCTACCTTACCAGGTTAGCATCCCTTTTAGGCACTCCAGATCTAGGAATCAATCCAACTGTATTGGATTTGGTAAAGTTAAAATGCCAGTGGGAAAAATTCAGCTGGATCATAAGTGAGCACTACTCCTGTGAAAGCTGTAGTTGTGACCCTAGAGATCAGCCTAGATTTAGAGCCCAATTCTTCAGCTGTCTCTTCCTATTACCATTTAAGAGTGGCTTTCATCCCACCTCCCCTTTCTGATGCATCTATGGAACCCTCCGACCTTTTACCTGGGAACACATGAGCTGCATGGGAGGAGAAGAGAAACTGATGAGACTCACATCTTTATCATCAAAACCTAAAGCTCATTAACAGCCACAATAAGCAGCCTCCAGCTTGCCCGAGGCGATAGAATTTGCATCCACTTCCACAGGAGAGTCCCATGCTGCTGCACCTGCTGCCTGACATCCAGGCAGTGAGGCCTAGCCTCCTGGTTAGATGCATCTACTTCTCAATAAGAACATCACCATGGGTGCGGGAAGTCGGGGCATAGGGGGTGCTGCAGCACCAAGTTTTGGGCATCCTGGCCGTCGGCATAGCATCCACTCAGGGGCCTGGCTGCTGGTCCCAGCGCACAACCCCTTCCCCATCAAAAACTGATCCAGTGCCACAGAACACTGCACATAGACAACACAGCACCCACACTTCATGCTGTTGCCTAATGCAATTGCTTCTTTTATTTACCAAGGCTTCATTTCAGTGACAGACATTAGAAATGCATGTCTCAGCCAGCCCAGCAGTCTAGCCATGTCACACAATGCATGAGGGGAGAATAAATTATTTTCACAGTGCAGTTGCCCCTTGTTCCACTCTGCCTTTACCTGAAATCAACCCCCCCTCCAAAAAAACCCAAGAGTGGGTGTCTGCAGGCAGAAAGTGTTTCACCGTGGAAACTTCCTTCCTTCCAATATCGTATGATCAGTATTAGTATATTTATAAAAGGGAAAACTGTAAAAAAGTGTTCCCAATATTGTAACTTTTTAGAAATAGAAATTGCCTTGGACATTTCAAGGTTCCCCAGAAGTCCGGACAGGACACCAGCTGATGATGGCTGGAAACTAGGTTTGCTAGTTTCAGAGGCCTCCCTTGCAAGGAGGAAAGAATAAAAGAGGGGGGGGGGGGGGAGAGACTAATAGGAAAAATCCAATATCTCCCTCCCTTCTCCCATCAACCTTCTTTCAAAAAAACCCTCCCTTCACCACCTAAGCGCCTTGCATTTTGCTGACCCCACTGAAACATATCAATCACCTTGTACCATTCGGCAGCTGGCAAATCAGGACAATTTGCCAGTCCAGAGACGATACTTATACGTGGGCTTCATTGCTTGCCTCAGTCAGGATGAAGCAAGGGCCTGTATGGGTAGCTTACAGGGGACAGATGGCAGACGCATCTGAAAGGCTGGAGAACTGCTGCACAACATAAATACATGGTTTTATTGGTTTCTTTTTTTAAATAGTGGCATGGTGTTTACAAACATGTCCCTTTGTTTAGCATGTGACTTCCCATCTAGGGCAGACTAAATTCTACAGTTTCTCTTTATTCCCCAGGATTTTTCCTAGGATAAATACAGTGGCTAAGTATTTGGAGTTACAACAGAGATATTAGATGTGTAACAAAGTGAGCTATTTCACAGTCATAACAATGATAATCCAGGAAGCAAACACAAAAGGAGATTTTTTTTTTTGTTCACAGTTATAGTTGGAGAGATCTTTTTTTGTTCGCAGAATCTTACAATTTCAGTCAAACTGGATTACACACTCCAGTTGTTACCCCCCCAAAAAAGCAATTGTAAAAATTACTTAACACAGATTTTCATATTATTTGTAATGCAGCTTGTGCAGAGCTGTCACAAGAAGAATTCAAGAAAACAAAAGCAGCCAGATTGCTCAACTTAATAAAGTAGTAGTTAAGTATGGACATTTAGAGTAACAAAAGGCTACAGTAAAAATATATGAATGTCTAGAAAACAGGTGATAAATAGCTGCAAGAAAAAAAACAAAACACCTTACTAGAAGATGTAAGATAGTCTCAGCTACATAGTTACTGTATTTTTCTAGTGCCTGAATTTCCTACCACAGCACTGATTTTATTATTACTTCTTTTAAATATAACTTACAATGACAATGAGTTTGCCAACCAGCAGCCAACTCAAAAACATTATGGAAAAACAAACAAAAAATAAGTATCATTAAAATGGGAAAGGGGAGTCCCCACAGCAGCCACGGTTTTTTTAATCCAGTCCTATCCCTTCTCGGCAATGCTGACTCAAGCTGAGCTGCTGGCTATATTCAGTGGAAGTTCTTCCAAATCAGATTTGGGATGCAGCTGGAGGAACGGAAAGCCCTAAAATCCAGTACCAAACCAGGAAAGTCTTAGTAGCAGCAAGCTCCAGCAAAACAAAGAGAAATTCCATCCAGATGTTCTGAAATGATTCATACAAGGAATTGGAGATCTTCAAAGGGTTCTGTCATTCCTGTCCTCAATCAATAGCCAAGTGAGTTGTGATTTAACTTGATCTGTCAGATCTCAGACGTGGCCTGTTCTTGTTTTATGTGGACTGACGTGATGTCTCAATTGGCTGCACAGTTCTCATCACATCCAAACCATTCGGTACACACATAAAATAAACCAAACTGGGGCCCTTCCTAGTGCACATCACACAGCAGCGGCAGGAGCAGCAGGCATCTCACATGTTACACCCTGCCTAAAAGTGTTGACCTAAAGAGAGAGAGAGAAAACAGCAGCGCTCAGAATGATGCCACAATTGTCAGAGAGGTTCTGACTATCTCCTAAAACGCTGACCTCAGCTTTTGGCATTCTTGTCATGTGTTCTGGCAGGTTTTTAGGGCCAGACTCGCTGTTGTTCTGTCTCTGTGTCTAATCAGCTTTGGGTGTGTGCATCCCCAGCCATCCATTTGCAGAGTTAGAGCTTTCCCTCGCCAATGGATTGGCACTTGTCACACTTAAGTGTAAAGTGTCCCCTGATACACAAGTGAGAAAAAAGTGCCTACCGCAGAAACCAGCTGAAAAGCAACCGTGTGCTTGCATTGAAAACAAAACCACAAAGAACTTTAAGCCGCAGAATGCTTTCTAGTACACCCACTGGGACACTGAAGAGTGGACAAGAACAGAAAATATTAGGGCTGTCAAGGAATTTAAAAATTTAATCACAATTAATCGTGTGCACTGCCCCTTTGAAACACTGCGCAGCAGCGGATTTTCAAAGGGGCAGCAATGCAGGAGTCTGGGATCAGCTGGAGTACCCCGCTGACCCCGGCTCCATACAGTGCTGCCCCTTGGAAAGGCCACCTCAGCATTTTCAATGGGCAGCACTGTGGGAGCCTGGGGTCAGCTTGAGTCCCCAGCTCACTCCGGGCTCCATGCACCGCTGCCCCTTTGAAGCGCCAGACTGGCGCTTCAAAGGGGCAGTGCAACACAAAGCCAGGGATCTGCTGGGCACTCCAGCTGATCCCAGGCTCCTAATGCGCTGCCCCTTTGAAGTGCCAGAGTGGCACTTCAAACAGGCAGCGCAGCATTAACGCCTGCGATTAATGTGTTTAAAAAAAAAAAGCATTAATCCTTCCGAGTTAATCGCAGGTGATAATGCACATCAATTGACAGCCCTAGAAAATATATTACACCAGGGATGGGACCTCGAGCCAGGGAGGCATGTACTGCCAGCGGGCATACTGGAGAAAATTGAGTCCTGGGCACTTTCCCTGATGGAAAAAAGGGGGGGTGGGGTGCCAGGACTAGAAACAACTGAAAGCAACCCCACAACAGGCTTTGTGAGCTTTTCCCTCTGCTTCCGCTACCAGAGGAACTAACATGAGCTATGAGCTGCTGAGGATGACAAGTTGCTCATGCTTAAGGCTGGCCCTGAATCCTCCATTACAATAAAGTTATTACCAAGTTTAAAGCAGCTGTCCAAACCCTCCAGTCCTGTCCATCCATCTCTCTATGAATAAGAATATGAAAGGGAATGAACTCACTACGCTGGTTCCAGCGCCAGCAGCAGAGGAGTAGATAGGTATAAGACATCCCAAATTCTGTTTTCCTACCTGGATACCAAAGTTAAATCACCCTTTTTCAAATGGAATCAGCCAAACACACTCTCTGGGTTTAGGATCCAAACTCTCTCAGAAAAAGACGGTTAATTTGAACACTAGAGCTCACAGCATTGGTGAGAAAGGTTTTCCAAAACTTTAGAGAGGTTTTACTAAACTGCATTGGGCAGGATATCTGAATTTAAAATTAAGCTACATTCTCAATCCCTTGGGGGCAAGATAAATAAGAAGTGGCTGGACTAATTCTTCCAGAAAATCCAGAAGCTGAACAATGATTTTAACTTGACGCTCTGTCCCATCTGTTGATGTGTATAACGTATCATTTGGTTTGTAACTGTCCAATGCTACATCTCATTCTGTTGATTTACTGACGCCAGTAACCTCTGACACAAACCTTAGAGCCTTCCATCTGTCCTTTTCAATGTGATTCTCAGGACCTTCACTTTCATAGGAAGCCAAGTAAAGTGCTGAAATCAAAGGGAAGAACATCATGTTAGTGCTACTGGCATTCTGAAAATTCACCGTTTTCTTAAAGAGCCCTGCAGCAAAATAAGATTTCTTTATATTAACCAGCCACGAGATTATGGCTCCCCAGTTGCATTACCAAAAGCACACAGTTACTCACAATTGTATTCAGTCAATACTAACAAAAAGGACATGAGAACAAAGACTCCTCAGGAAAAAGAAGAAAGCTGAGGAACCTTAAAATTCAAGCGAGTAGAAGTGAGCACTTGTAAAAGAAAGGTCTGAGCTCATTGTCTTTTGCTCACAACGCAAATTTGCTAAGTCCCAATTGCTTTTCTAGCAGCATCCCTAGGTCAAAGCATCCTTAAAGGCAAAGCAAATACATTCACTTTGGATTATGTTTTTGTGGACAAGCTTCCCAATTCTTATTTGTTTTTCTATTCCTTATACATCTCTTTTTTGTTTTAAACAGATGAAGGGAACAAAGCCACTTTTCAGAGAACACACACAATTTGAAAAGGTCACTCTTGTTCCTTGTGTTCGTCTGGGACCGCTGTAATTTATAGATCATGTTTAGATGTGTAAATAAGTTCCAGGACTAGATGTCCCTTCAAAAGATATAATTTAACCCAGGAAGACATGGAGCAGTATCTGGCACGTGATCAGTTGAAAAGCAGAGCACACCGGATTCCTTACCATCTTCACTGAACACTGGGACAGTGAGCAAGTGTTGCAGAATCTTTCGGTCCCTCTCAAACGGGCACTCCACTTGCTTCCACGTCATAAACTCACTCACTTGTTTCGCTAACTCCCAAAATTTCTATAAACGGAAAGTGGGGAAAACAAAAAAATCCAAAGATGTATCAACTTTAGCAATCTGCTTGATTAAAAACTTAGAAAAATGAATCTGGGTTTGAAGTAGGCTCATTTCCAGTCAGACTTTCAAGCAGTAACTATCACAAGAGGGATGGGAAAACTGCATTTCTATCCCCTTCAGGAAATCCTAATATTTACATGTTTATTTTGTGTGTCAAATTGATACAACACCCATATTAAAATAATTTTTTTCAGAATGAAAAGTTTAGGGAAAAAGCCAATTTAGATGGTCAAGATGTTTCATTTTCACATTTTGACCCACACCAAACATTTTGATGTTCCCAAATTCAAATGTTTAAGTTTCTCTTTGTTGACCCCCAAAATTTAGATTTTTCCACGATGGAAAGAAAGTTCAATTTTGACATATATATTTTAGTTGAAATTGTGGAAAATGTCATTTTCCAACAGTAAAATATTTTATTTAAAGTTTTTTGATCAATCTTCACGGTTGTTTGGGTCACCCTTAAACAAAGGCATTCCATAAAGGTACCCCTATAAGCAATGGATTGTAGCCAAGATGGTCAGGAACTAGAATTTTCATTCCATGGGAAGTTCTGATGTTTCAAAAAGTTAGTTCCAATTTGGAAGGAGAGGCTGAAATATCAATATTTCCTGCAGAACAAAGTTTTGACTTCTAGTATATTAAGTTATATAAATACTTGAAATTCATAATTTAAATTTAGATAAAAATGAATTGAAACTATCAAAACAGATAATTGTGGCTTTTCTACCATCCCTATCAAAGAACGGGCAACGCTGACACATTTCTGCAAAATGTTTTGATTTTGACACCCCCCCCTCCCTTTTTGGGGGCAGAAAAGCATTCCATCAAGATTTCTAACCATCTCTAATAATAACTGGTAAACATACTAAACATGGACCTAATTTTGTTCCCAATTAAAGCAGGATCAAAACCATCAAGGTCTAAATAAGACCTTCTACTCACTTCAAAATTGACATGGCCATTTGGGAGGCGATTGGCACAGCCCTCGTTGAGAAAGTAAATGTCTTTGATTAAGAGACTGAAGAAAGGTATCACGATCTAAAGAAAGAACACGATTCCACCATTACTGTGGCAAAGAACTGAGAAAACGGTAATATCACATGTATGAAAAATTAAGTCATATTGTTTAAAAACTGCAAAGTCCACCAGTTTTCCTTTCACCTTGAGGGCATGCTGCATTTTATAATGTTTGAAGTATGATAGATATCATCCCACTCTTTAGTTTCATATCAGTTCCACCTTCTTTCTTTGCCCCAACTTCTTCCATACACTCTGTCTTTGTAAACCCTGTAGTGTTCTCAGAATTGCAATTACTCTATTTTCCTGGCTATTCTTGTCAGTTGAGGACACAATGTACGTTCACTACCTTTGGCGTGACAACTGTCTGCCTATTATAGTGGCCCTCACTTGTTTGACCTTTCCTCACACATGCTTGCAGACTCCAGAATGTATAAACTCCGAGGTACCCACTCCTTGTTTGTGCATTTTAAACAGGTACCTGGATGCTCAAGTTAGAATGCTATAGAGAGCTGAAAAAATGATCAACAGCAATTAAGCCCAAAGGGCTGATGATAGTGCTCCTATATGAAGATGATTTCTGCAACCACAGAAGAATAGTTTTTTCCCCTATAGACTCTGCTCTATGCCCCTCAATCTCCTTTCAAAGTAGGACAAGTAGTAATGAATTTAATTTGCAGCAAGGGAGATTTCGATTAGTTAATAGGAAAATCTGCCAACTATAAGAATAGTTAAGCACTGAAACAGGCTTTTAAGGGGCATTGTGGAATCCCCATCCTTGGAGAACAGGATAAACATCTGTCAGGGATAATCAAGGTATATTTGCTCCTGTCTCACAACAGGTACCTGTCATCCTTTTATAAAGGCTCCTCTTTCCAACCTACACAAGATCACATGACTTTGTCTCAGTCAATGGCTAATAAAAATGGAGCTAGTCAGGAATCTGTCAGAATGATTTCCTGACAGAAAATGCAGTTCCTGGAAAGTCAAAATGTTTCCATGGGAAAACTGAGCAGAAGTACTGCATTTCCTAGATGGCTAATTGTGCCATAACGTGATACAGATTTCCTCATGACCACGCTTTCTATGGCACATTATGGGAGTCACAAGACTGGACTACAGCCAGACCTCCATCTCAAAGGAGACGGAGGTCTGGCTTGGGAACATGACTCAGCTGGAAGAATGGTGACTCCAGGGTTCTGAACTACAGCTCCCATTAGACATCTCTGTTAAGCAGAAATTCTGAACTTTTTTGTCCCAATTTGGGACAAAACAAACATTGAAAAAACATTGGAATTTCCAAATTTCACTCATCTCTACAAAAAATACAGAGGAATAAACTCTTTAGATTCCTGAAACTGATTTTTCTCCATGGCGTATGCAGGATTTTGGACCTTAAGATCTCACACCTTGATTTGTATTCCAACAGGTTCTTAGTTCTCAAAACCCATATTTTATTTTTAAGTGCGAAACATGGAAGTGAGCAGAATGCATATTAAGTATGCTGCCTTTTAGTTAAATTTATTCTATAAGCATGAAGATTGGGTTTATTAATTCTGACATGCAAAGCCAATGTTATAAAAGTTGATGAATTATTTAGTAACTTGTCTCTAAGTGGGTGCAAGGTTAGCAAGCTACCTGGCTCCTTTCCAAGAGAAATTCAAGGGATTCAACTAAGGTTCTGCATTAATGTATGCCAAGTCCTGGTTATGTCTCACACACTGGCTTATTGCAAAGAGGTTGTATCTTTCTTTGCCTCCATTTCTTAATGATATTATAGGCACTCTTGTGTTTCAAGAGAGCATGCTTGGCCTAACCAACCTGTAATTCTTGGCTAGTCATACTAATGCACCGCAGCAAGGCACCTTTAAAGCTAAACTGGTAAAGGCCATACAGAGAAGAGACTTGTGCACTATTAGATTAACACTCATGTTCCCCATTTTGACTCAAGTTACAAATGCTACTCTCGACATTCCCCAGACATTTGAGGGGTCAGACACAAGGTACGGAGTTGACCCTACACAAAGTCAAACATTAGAACAGAGTACTTTTACACAGCTCATAGAATCATAGAGCTGGAAGACACCTCAGGAGGTCATCAAGTCTAGCCCCTTGCCCAAGGCAGGATCAATCCCAACTAAATCAACCCATCTGCCTAAATCTTATTATGCTACTGGGGATTCTGATCCTGTAGGCTGACCCAACATGCACAAAATAAGTAAGAGAACTGGGGTTTGTTGGCACTATTTAAAATTAGTAAAATCCCATGAGATTTGAAACAGTTTGGGGTTTAGTTTGTTGTTTGTTTTTCAATTTTTGCCAAAGCCCAAGAATACTCAGCACTTGAAAACAGTTACAATGCTACTAACCAGTCTGCCAAAGCCCAAGAATACTCAGCACTTGAAAACAGTGACAATGCTACTAACCAGTCTACATCTTTAACCCAAGGCACTTTGTGAAAGAGGTATTGAGTTTTTTTCTCTGATCCTGTTCTTTCAGTTATTTTGCCGCAAAAAAACTCTCAGAAAAAGGTATTGAGTTTTTTTTCCTCTGATCCTGTTCTTTCAGTTATTTTGCCGCAAAGCACCTCTCAGAAATTGAGGCTTTTGTAAAGCAGAATGAAGAGTTTAAAAACACAGCAGCAGTGTGAAATGGGTAGTAGCATTTGTTGCTGTAGGCAGAACAAAGACGGGCAAGACAGACTTTTAGATCTTATTCAAGCTTCATTCTTGGGAAGTTTTAAAAATCCTTTTCTTCATAGTTTTTAAGATTTTTTTTATTTAAAAGTTTTAAAAATCCTTTTCTTCATAGTTTTTAAGGTTTTTTTATTAAAAAAAGTAGAGCTTTTGGTGCATCGTCTAGACTATTATTTATTCTTCCCACGTCTAAAAGTCTCAATGAGTGCATCGTCTAGACTATTATTTATTCTTCCTACGTCTAACAGTTCCAATGGGGCACTCGTCAACATTTCCATTGTCTTTCTACCTATTTGAGACATATTAAAATGAGTCTGCCTCTCTCAGTGCTTACCCCGCATTCTCTCTGGAAGGAAGGCATTCCTTGCTCTGTATTCAAGAGCTCCTTTTGCCTCTAGTACCCTAGCAGTTCTCAGGGCTCTTCAGGTTCAGATTAGTTATCTCTGTACCAGCTTTGATTGCCTGTGGATACGCTAACTGGCTTTCCTTGTAGCTACTGGTACTGACAGATACACTCCCAGTTCTTCCCTTCCACAGAAGCACTAGTGCCCGGAGGAAGAGAGGAATGGAAGAAAAAAAAATCAGTGGGGAGCAACTTAAAAAGTGTACCATGTGTGAAATGCTCACGAAAAGAGCCAGATTGAAACTTCTTGAGACTGAATTTCATCTACAGGGTGACACACGGCCTAAGTGGCACCAGTGCCAGCTTCCTCACACTGCCCCGCTGTTCTCCTCAGTTCAGATGAAGAAGGACCGACAGTAAGGACAGCACAGTCCCTTCCTTTCAGCCCTTGGACTGCCCACCTAGACTGCTGACAACTGCCAAGTGCCATTTGTGATGTTCTCTCTGCCCATGGGACCACCAATCCCACTTCAGGAAGGGCATAAGACAGTAACCCCTTCCAGTTAGTACAAGCCTGTACTGGCCTTCTGATTGAAAGCATAAGATAAAAGAATCTTTATATTGAGCCCTCTGAGATTTCCCATTTATTTCCCTGTGGGATCCCAGACACCATACCAGAGGATCAAATCTTGATCTTGGGGATCCACTCAAGCTTCATGGGTGGACAGAGGCCCAATGTTGAGGCCCATATTTTAAAGGAAGCTGTCCGAGGTTAGTGCCTTAGAATCTGAGTTGCACGAGAACAGTTCAGTACATAGCTTAACAAGCACATTTCATTACTGTCCATTTGCTAAGTAAGTCACAAACTACCTTCTCTCTGCTGCTATGAGCTGTCAAGGACATCCACTCAAGCTTCATGGGTGGACAGAGGCCCAATGTTGAGGCCCATATTTTAAAGGAAGCTGTCCGAGGTTAGTGCCTTAGAATCTGAGTTGCACGAGAACAGTTCAGTACATAGCTTAACAAGCACATTTCATTACTGTCCATTTGCTAAGTAAGTCACAAACTACCTTCTCTCTGCTGCTATGAGCTGTCAAGGACTCGGTAATTGTAAAAATTGCTAGAAGGATCCATCTGATGCTAGAAGTGTGAAGAAATGTAAATAATGAGCTTCAGCGCTTTAGTGCCAATACATGTATTGTGCTTTTCACTTAGAGAGGCCAGTTCTAGCAAGCAAGTCTACTGAATCGCATCACAAATGCCATCTTTAAAGTATAACAAACAAATCTACTACTCTGTTAAATCCTTGCACATTTACAGCACGCCCACTCTCAAATAATGCCCAACAAACAATGCAAACCAGGCTTGCACAGAAGCAATGCTGTGTGTCAGCCAGACTTGCCATCTAACCTCCTCAAAAAAAAAATGTACTATTAACTCAAATGTCAAGGCTAAAATTCTGCTCTCAAAGCTATACAATGGTCTCAAGATTGAGACCAATATTCTGCACTTTCCAGTGTGTGTAATTTGCTGTGACAATAATAAGAGTTGCACACATGTACTGAGAGTCACACTTTCTACAGTGTGAATTGTTTGAAAAATCCCAAAAGGCTCACCAATTAATTCAAGATGCTTGAATCATCTGTAAAAGCAAATCTGAAGCCATAGGGTAAACCACAAATTCATATTTTGGGGCGTATCTAGACTACACTAGATTTTCGAAAGAGGATATGTAAATTCTGCGGGAATTTGCATATCTTCTTTCGAGCTCACTTTCGAAAGCAGCATTTTCGAAAGTGAGAGTAATTAAGATGCGGTTCTGTCGGCGAACCCTCCCGTTTGTCAACAAGCCGCATAAACCTCATTTTTTAAAGGAAAGCAGCTTCTCGACAAACGGGAGGGTTCGCCGACAGAACCGCATCTTAATTACTCTCACTTTCGAAAATGCTGCTTTCGAAAGTGAGCTCGAAAGAAGAAATGCAAATTCCCACGGAATTTGCATAGCCTCTTTCGAAAGTCTAGTGTAAGTCTAGATATGCCCTTAGAATGCCCACATTACCTTCTACAAATTAGGGATTTCAGCGAGTAGTCGAGTACTTGACTACCCCATAAGCCTAAACTTATCAGAAAGTCAAGTTGAGTTCTCGACTACCTGCTTCCCCCCCTTACTGCCTCTGTATCAAAGGCAGCGGGGTGGGGGCAGAAGAGAAGAGAGAAACAGGAGCCGGGGCTGGGGGGAGCTCTCTCTCCTCTGGCTGCTACCTCTATCAGAGGCAGCAATGGAGAGGGGAGGGGAAAGGGAGGCTGTTCCGGCAGTAGCCCTGTCTGTGGCAGCCATGGGCAGAGGCTTCTCTGGCAACAGCCCCTGTCTGCAGCCCCTGTTGCTGCTAGAGCAGCCTCTATCCACTGCCAGCCCAGGCCACCACGAACAGGGACTGCTGGACCCAGTGCAAGCTGGGACTAAGCAGTCTGGGCTCGCGCCAGTCTGGGACCACTGCAGCTCTGCATTTTAAATGTAGTGAGAGCTGGGTGGCTCTTACTACATTTAAAATGCAGAGCGGCAGTGGTCTCAAAGCCAGTGCAAGTTGGGACTGCTCAGTTTTGGCTCGTGCCGGCTCTGGGAGCTACCCCCGCTGCAGCCCGCCTCCCTTCACTGACTAATCATGTAGTTGATACAAATTGTATCGACTACACGATTAGCCAAATACTCTAACATTCTAACTTCAAATGTATTGATTACCTGGAGCTCATCCGCAATCAATTAACTTCAGACATTTAAAAGAAATCAACTCCAATGCAGACTCCCTTTATGGGTTAAATTCTACATGCAGACTTGAGAGGAGAATTTTTCTTGATGTACTCACTAGGCATGTGAGAGATTAACCAGTAAGCATCACCCTTCATCACCACCTTCATGGGTGATGCTTAATGGTTCTGGTTAACCATGGGGGCTGGAGCAGCAGTCTCACAGGCCATGCTGCAGGCAGGGAAACTCCAGCCCAGACAGAACAAAGGTGTCACAGGCAAAGGTTGATCTAGAGGTCTGGAGCACCTCCCCTCCCCACCCTTTAATCAGTTAACTGGTTAAACATCACATGTAACCAGTTAACCAAGTAAATGAGATTTTACATCCCTAGCACTCACTCTTCCAGCACAACCAAAACCCCATTGCACACCTCTTAAGCTTCAGAAGAGTCACCCACAATTTCAAGATCCAGTTGTAAAAATTTCAACTAGTTCCAGTGGGTAACTAGGCTTTGTAATAGAACAACAAGGTCTAATGAACTGGTGGCTCTTCCAAATCCAAAGGGGCCTCAGGAATTAACAGAGGCTAAAAGTCAGTTCAAGATCTAGTTTGTATGAATCTCCACTAGGGACATGCACACATGACATTTTATTGGACATCCAATAGGACAGGATCTATTAAGACTCCCATTCCAGAAAAGTCTATTGAGAGCAATGTGGCCCTATTTATCATCAGTTAAACCTACCTCAAGAATGTCAAATTTGGCTGTCTTGACTTTTGCCCAGGTCTTCTTTAGCCGGGAAACCGGACTCATGTTCATCCCAGCTTTATTAGAGAAAGACAATTTGAAAATTAAATAAAAAACAAAACTAATCTAAGAGAAACAAAGTAACTAAGATGCAAAGTTATTCAACTGTGAAAGAGCTATTAACACATGGGAGATAGTCATTTCTAGGTATTTTTACTACCTATATATTTGCAATATAACACAAACAGCAATACCCATCAATTCTACAGGTTATTGACAGGTTTTTCCCTACATAAAAACAGGAGATTAATAAAAAGTGTCCCATTATGATGCTTTAGGATTAGAGTTTACTAAAAATGTGGGTGATGAGATCTGAAAAGTTACAGTATAAAAATCAAGAGCAACATCATTAATCTCTTTAAGATATGTTCAGTATGGAAGTCCATGGGCTTCTATTACATGCAGTGTAACCACCAAGCCAAGCAACATCAGCTACGTCATACAGAAGAGAGAGAGCACTAGCTGGAAATTTAAGAGAGGGGCGGCCCATGATACCTGCTTACTTCCCCATGAGGTTAAGTGAAGGGTGACCTTTATACTCTTCAGTGTACAGTGTCTTTGGCTATTACAGACAATAGTGGTTTTCAAACTTTTTTTCTCATGATCCTGTTGAAGCAATTGTCGATGTCTGTGACCCAACATAATTTGACTGATGTGTGAGTTCTGGGATGGGACCGAGGAGGAGAGCTTCAGCTTCAGGGGTGGGTCAGGGCTAGGGCAGTGGGGGTGCTAAGGCAGCTTTCCTGCCTCTCCTGGCACTGCAGACTATGCTGAGCCCCAGAAGCAGGTTCCCAGCCAATGGGAGTACAGTGCTAGTGCTCATGCTCAGGGCGGAGGCAGTGCGCGGAGCCCTGTGCGCTCTTTTCTTCCCCCACCCACAACTATAAGAGCCAGGCCTGCTGCCGGGCTGCTTCCGGGACACAGAGCAGTCTGCAGTGCTAGGACAGGTGGAAAGCCTGCCTTAGCACTTCCCCCCCTGCACGCATGCACACATTCCCGCGCACTCTGCTGCAGCAACAAGACTCGGGGCCTGACTTTCCGCGACCCAGTACTAGGCCACGACCCATAGCTTGAAAACCACTGATAAACAATGCAGTTGTCTCAGGCCCACTGTCCAGCTCCTCTTGAAGTTGGCAGGAAAGTAACTCAAGGGCCTCCCAAGAAGTCACTGCACGCCAAGAAGTAGGGATGGAGAGTATTGACCTTTTTTTAACTATGTAGCAACAAAGCAATTCTTTTAAAGACTAAGTTCTCTTATCCTTTCTCTTGTTAATAATTGAAGCTTGAACTACGAAACTCCTTTCTAATCTTGTATAAATAAATAACATTACAGAGATTCATCTCCTTCCTTTCCCACCCTCTTGGGTAGTGTAACCAGGAAATTTATTTAAGCATCAACTTTTTTTTTAATTTACTGTTTAGATTAGAAAGAAGGAAAAACTCCCCCATAATTCCCCACACCTAATACTCACAAATAATCGCCATTAAGGAGTTAAAGTTGCCGATGTTAAAACACTCCCTGGCCACATCAATGAAATATTCTATCATTCTTGCTCTGTGCTTCTTCTTTACGGGCTACGAGAGACATATAGTACAGTGTCATTCTTTACCAGGAATGGGAGACCCCTTTTGGACTCCAAAAAGGATTGACATTATTAGTATTCTGTTCTGTAGGTGCTGCAACTTTAACATCACATTCTACAAATAAACCAAGTGGTATTCCTTACTCCAAAAAATTATGAGAGGAGACACAGAAACCAAATGAGCTAAGGGACTTCCGGCCAGGGGTGGCTAGGGAAGTATTGGAGGATTTGTGGAAGTTGGTATTGGAAGAAAAGAGAAGAAGACTGATAAACAAGAAGGGACAGAGGCTCTTCTAGACAGAAGGGGCAACCCATTATGGTGAATGTGTCGCTAAGAATGGGATAAAAATACAGTAAAGGAGCTAATGATGATTCATAGCTTCAAAACCAGAAAAGTGGAAAATTGTGCGCCAAGGAAAAGGATTTGCTCACCATGCAGATTTCTGTAGCAACTAAGTAGCTGAGTCTGTTAAACCATTCTACATAGGCTTCCAGGTTATGGGTCTTCTTTCGATCAGTGTAACAGCTCTGGAGAAAGGGAAAAACACAAACTCGCTAATTTATCTTGAATTCTTCTTGGAGAAAGATTCCTAGCCTGAAATCTGGTCACCTGGAGCTTTCACCCAGTCATATATCATAAGGTAAGTAGAGTCAATCACCAAAGAAAACTCAGAAAAATGCAGGAAAGGGAGGTTGGAGACTCAGCATTTGGCATTTCTCTGAGGCCTTCATTCAGAAAAGCACTTACACAGGTGCGCAGTATCAAGCACCTGCTTATAGCCCATGTAAGTGCTTTGCTGAACGATACTTCAGAACATACGTATGTGCTCTGCTCCATCAGGGCATGAGTCAGAACTAAAGCAATGCCAAATCAGAATGTAAGGAGACACTGTGGTGCTGGTTTTTGGATAAGAGATTAAGCGGAGTCCTTCAGAAGTGAAAGTAACTTACATTTCTTATAGGTTCTGTTGTTTCACTCTCACTGACACACACACACTGGTGGAGGTGCTCAGGGAAGGGGACTGGGGGTGGTGGTGTTGCGATATGACAGCACTGGTAAGAAATGTAAGTGTGGGGTGGAATGGGGGTGGGCTCAGGTCAGAGGGGTGGGGATGCAAGGAGTCATAGTTAGAGTGTGTGAGGAGGGCTCAGGGCACGGAGCTGGGGTAAGTGTGACTCTCACTGACACACACACACTGGTGGAGGTGCTCAGGGAAGGGGACTGGGGGTGGTGGTGTTGCGATATGACAGCACTGGTAAGAAATGTAAGTGTGGGGTGGAATGGGGGTGGGCTCAGGTCAGAGGGGTGGGGATGCAAGGAGTCATAGTTAGAGTGTGTGAGGAGGGCTCAGGGCACGGAGCTGGGGTAAGTGTG